TCTGTCCCAGCGTCGAGTGCTCCGCTGCTTCTTAAGCGGCGAGTCTCTCCGCCCCACTTTTATGTCTCCCGGTGGCGGAGGTTGCGCGCCTGCCAAGCACCGAGTTCCTCCGCCGTCCCCCTCTTTTCCCTTTCAGCGTTTAACTCTTTGCTACCCTCGTCTTCCTTCTAGCGCAAATCTTGCTTCTCTATATTCCTTCCGCATAGGCCCTACCCACCTGCTCGGACCGCCGCAGGGGTAATCCCCCCGAGCAGGAGCCCCAAAACCTCCCTGCAGGAGTCCCCACCACCCATCCCCTTTCCCGACTCCTGCAGGAACTTGGCCCAGCAGCTCTGATCCCGAGCTTCGACTCCCGCGGAGTCTGTCACCGCCCCCCCCCCCCCCCCCCCCTACCCACTAGATAATTTTCTATCTTCCTTCTAGCACCAAGCACTCTGCTGTCTCCCAGCATCGAGTTTCTCTGCCCATACCCTTCTTTCTGGTGTCGAGCGCTCCGCGCCCTTCGAGCGTCGGAGTCTCTCCACCCCCCCCTTCTCTGTCCCAGCGTCGAGTGCCCCGCTTACTCTTAGTGGGAGTCTCTCCGCCCCACTTTATGCCTATCTCTCAGTGTTGAGTGCTCCGCTCTCTCCAGCGCCAAGCCTCTCCACCTCCCTTCGATTTTCTTTTCCTTATCAGCACCAAGTCTCTCCGCTACCTCCGCTTCCTTCTAGCACACCTGGCTCCTCTATGTTCCTTCCGCATAGGCCCTCACTCACCAGCTCTGACTCCCGCTGGAGTTACCCCGGAGCACGATTCTGGCCACGGCCCCTCCCCGCAGGAGTCACTATTGCCCCCTCCCGCTCCCGACTCCAGTGGGGACAAAAAAAAAAACTGGCCCAGCAGCTCTGACCCCGAGCTTCGACTCCCACGGAGTCTGTCACCGCCCACCCCCGCCCCTTAGAATTTTTCTTTCTTCCTTCCAGCATCGAGTGCTCCGCTACCTTCTAGCACCGAGTCTCTCCACCTTTTACCTTCCTTCCGGTGTTGAGTGCTCCGCTCTCCCAGAGCGCTCAAGTCTCTCCGCCTCCTTTCTGTCCCAGCGTCGAGTACTCCGCTCCTTCTTAGCGTCGAGTTTCTCCGCCCCACTTTTTCTCTACCCTGCGGCGTCGAGGGCTCCGCTTCCTCCAAGCACTGAAGTCTCTCCGCCCCCTCTCCTTTTCTTATTCTTTTCAGTGACGAATACCGCCACTACTCCCTCTAGCTCTACCCCTCTATCTTCCTTCTGCTTAGGCCATCACTCCCAGCTGTGACTCCGCAGAGTCTCCCAAGCTTCCCTGCCCAGACTCCCACGGAGTCTATGCTTACCCACGCTCCCGCAGGAGCCCCTCTCTTTCTCCTACTCTTCCCTAACTGTATATCCAGCAGCCGGATATAGCATTGGTATCAGCGGCTCTGGGGGGGTTCTTCAATACGCGGCTGCTGTCCCGAGCATAAAGCACTTTGGGGGGTTCTCGAGATCTACCCGAGCTCAAACTCCCCTCTCGCCCTGCAACGGGAGGGAGCCCCGGGCTCGAGGCTCTCATGAGCTCGGGGCTCTCTCCCGGGACAGCATGCCAAACTAGCTTATTACCAATCATCAGCTAAGTGTGAACTCTTGAAGTGAAGTTTATTCATAAACTAATTTCGAGAGGATCACGTGCTTATGATTGACACGGCTGGCCCCGAGTCAAGCTAATGTACGAACCACCAATCAGACTACTCCTAACCAAGTATAAATAACCAAACACCTTACCTTTAGTCATCTTCGTCTTGAAGAATCCCCCCTTCCACCCCTTCGCCTCCTCTTTTGTCTACAGGGCAGCACGGCGGCCCAGTGGCTAGCACTGCAGCCTCACAGCAAAAATGCCTCCGGTTCGGGCATCTACCCAAACGGTCAGCATTTTCGTGTGGAGTTCATGTTCTCCCCGTGCTTGCGTGGGTTTTCCCCGGGTCCTCCGGTTTCCTCCCACACTCCCAAAAACATGACACTTAAGTAAATTGACTAATCCAAATTAGCACCAAATTTGATTCAATTCTGTCAGCAACGCATCACCTTAGCAACCCTCACGCAGCAGGAGGGAGGGGGGTTCTCGAGATCTACCCGAGCTCAAACTCCCCTCTCGCCCTGCAACGGGAGGGAGCCCCGGGCTCGAGGCTCTCATGAGCTCGGGGCTCTCTCCCGGGACAGCATGCCAAACTAGCTTATTACCAATCATCAGCTAAGTGTGAACTCTTGAAGTGCTGACGAGAGACGTCTGCTTTAGCCAATCAGAACAGTCAGACGCATTCACGTCCGTGCGGTTTATGAGAATAAAAGCCTTTGAATATTTTTCCAGACACATTTAGCTGCTAGAAATTAGTCACATAACGTTTATATGTTCACTTTAATGCCAACCGTATAAATAATTATCGATAAGATGCTTATGATAAGCCGTTGTTTGTTTACCCTCAAGCTTTGCATGTGCCTGTGAAACAGCCCGTGGGCGCCAGCACACACACATACAGTATCATGTACATCTCGACATGCGAAAGTGTTTCTCAAACTCCTTTAACAGTGAAGACTGGTGATCGTGCAGCAGCTTGGTGAGTGAGGGCGCAGGCTCAGTCTCACACAAAATCCACGCTAATGTTTAAAACACGTCCGATATGCCTCTGTTCACGCGCCGTCCCCACAAATCCAGTTTAAATGCAGCTTCTTTATTTGCCAACTTAAAGATAATTCATTCTTGTTCAGCCCGGTACTGATTGATCCACGCACCAGCACCCGCCAGGGGGTTGAAGACCACTGATCTAAACCACTACAATAATATGAAGACACACTATAAGCCTGTATTCAGCAGTTTACTGTAAGAGACCTGGTGAACTGATGTATTTACTACACATGCATCTGAAAATAACCCTGATTACTCATTCACATGAAGCAATATATTGACTGAAGATCTTCTGTCAGAAAGGCTGTGTGTGAAGGAGAGTCAGCGCTCATGATTATTGATCAGGTGTTTCTCAGCTGACAGAATAAAAGTCCCCTAATGCTCCATCAGTGTGAATGTGACTGTCAGGCTGGTGAAAGAGACATTAAGAGAGCGGGTTTGTGTTTGTTTTAGTTTATTTACATCATCGTCCACAATATAATATACAAATGAAGATCAGGTCATGTTCTGTTGCTCTTTATACAGTAAAGTTTGATCTACAAGCTGAAGTTTGTGACTGTCAGGGCTGTAGTACTCGTCCAGACTCAAGACGTTTCTTTCTATAGTCTAGGACTCTCTAATATTCAGACATGAACTTGGTCCAGCACTAGCCATTGGTTGAGTGTGTTTGTCTGGAAAACAGGAAACATCACTGTTAAATCCACTGTGAGTCTAGAATGGGCACTGACACTCTCGTGTGATAAGCTCGTCTGCGGCTGCGTCTTATTTCTCCTCCTTCATATGAGTGCCCTGTTCAAGTGCGCTTCAGTCACTGTCATTCAGACACATGTCAAAATGCTTTTGTAAACAACCTGTTATTCTTTACACCGATTAAAAAACGGCTACTATAATATAGAAAATCTTTTCTAAATGTAGAACTAAATACATTGATTTGCATTGAAATATATGATGAATACACTTGACACATGAAAGTGTAGCTGCGCAGCTCACAACAAATGTGGAAGGTTATTGCGTGTCATATTTAACAAGCCGTTTACTGCTAATTTGATGTAATTTTGCTCACATGGATAATTGAATATTAATCAGATGATGTCATTACGCAGCTGTGCCGTCAGCCAATCGTTGCATTGCTGATGATGATTTCGAGGATCGATAGATCTGTCCTTCACAACACAAGCAGCGATCTCAGATCAGTTTATCCAGACATTCTAATCTGATTCGCGAACTCGTTTGAAGAACCAAATTAGCGAGAGATCAGTTATCGGGATGAAAAGATCCAGGATCTGCCAAATAATCTTAGATCATTTAAGCGAGGTACGAAGAACGGACCCCAGCTCAGCATCTGTCTGTTGCTCTGTCCCGCCTGGGTGTTTTGGTCATTCAGAGGAGTTCACCAGCGTTTCTTTTACAGCGTGTGTGTGTGTGTGTGTGTGCGTGTGTGTGTGTGTGTGTGTGGACATGTCTCATGACAGATGTGAGGGGAGAGACCAGATTATCAGACATCAGGATATCTTTAAAGGCGATTATTAATAAATATTGTCTGACATCTCTCAGTGTAGCAGCCCTTCAGCTTTCAATAAATAGGCAGAGAGTTTTGACGGGTGCATTTAAAATGGTTTACTTAGATGCCATAAAGTTCATCACATAAATCATCATTTTCTCAGTTCTTTGTTGTAAACACCGAAGCATCAAAAGACCAAAAGCACCGTAAAACTAGAGAAAACAAACAAACAACATAGAAAAATAAACAACAAACATTTACAAAACATCTAACATTTTCCAAATAAACAATAAACAAAACATCCCTCGCTCTGCTTGCCGAAGGGACACTAAAAGCTCAAGACATTCTTCCGAGCTGTACCTGTTAACTCGTGAACAAACGTTAATTGCTCTTACTCTGCTTTGTCTCACTTGAATCCTATTAGTCTAGAGCGCCCTCCTGTGGTGACTCCAATTATGGCAAGCAAAGCGAGTGCATGAAATCATGGGCAGTTACACCCAGCCCTACACTTGATTACACATTTCAGACCTCTGTAACATTTGAGGAAATGTCTTACAGTCATACAACCAGCTGTAATCCTGCATCTAGGTGTCGATCATCTACAAAACACACTTATAATGTTTTAAAATCAACTATTAAACCACATTAAGATGATGCATTATTTGTGTGTGTGTGCTGATGCGAGGGCTCGATCAATAAGGAGAGCTGATCAGGATGTGTGTGTTCATCACTGCTGTTGACATGAGCAGAAACAGCAGTCAGCATCTTCACAACACAAAGAGATGTGTGATTGTCCAACTGTGTGATGTGGACTATTGCTGTGTTTGTAGATTGTCTGGCTGTATGGTGACAGAGGAAGGCTGTGGTTTTCTGTCTTCAGCTCTGACTTCAAACCCCTCACACCTGAGAGAGCTGGATCTGAGCTACAATCATCCAGGAGATTCAGGAGTCAAGCTGCTCTCTGAACAACTGGAGGATCCAAACTACACACTGGACAAACTCAAGTATGTGGAGCAGCACTGGCCTTGTGCTTTTACACTGAATGGCTTTAAAAAGACACTAGAAAGCTCTTTTGTGATCAGCGTCAGTTTTCTGTGAGGGTTATGGGGTGAGGACAGTCAGAAGATACAGCTTGTAGAGTATTCCAGTCATGTCTATGAAGGGCAAATCATTGAGTGTGAAATGAATCTCCTCTGTAAATGTTGGAGTGTATTGGCTCAGTTACAGTGACATTAAGCGGGACACACTGTACAGTTTCAGCATTTGAGCTGAGCAGAGAAACTTCTTCCTCCATTTCTGCTGAAGAATCCTACAATATCAGGTCAGGAATAGGGTTGGGGATTGAAGATGGATTCAGATTCTGGAATCAGACACTTGGATTAATGTTCAGACTCTTGTTCTAAAATCAACATCTGGATTCCTCTTCTCTGTGCACACATGTGTATTTTTCACTTGCTAATCTGTCAGGAAGTTGGGCGCTGGCGAGCAGCTTTAATAATCTGAACATAGTTTAGAGATGGACTGCAACATGTGCTCAAAGGCTGCATGTGCTGAAGAACGATGGCAAAGCTAAGTGTGATCACTGTAATAAATGAATGTTGCAGCAGGGTGTCTCCATCAACATGAGCAGTATCTGCGCTCGCTTCACCAACAGCAGAGGAAAAGAACGCACTGTGTTACATTCATTGTGCATCCCGGCTCAACCAACAAGTGTTGTGTGTTTTAGCTCAAGAGTTTGGAGCGTGTAGCTGAGCGGCTCAGTGCTAGCTTTAGCTTATTAGCTGAGGGGGAAACTAAACAGCTCATTCTCTCCATCTGTGTGTGTTTACAGTCTGGATCATGGAGGACACACGAGGATTACAGCAGGACCACGCAAATGTAGGACTACACACACACACACAAACGCACACACACACACACACACACACACGCGCGCGCATGCACACACACACACGAGGATTACAGCAGGACCGCGCAAATGTAGGACTACACACACACACACACACACACATATTCACACACAAGCACGCACAGACACACACACACACATGCACACACAAGCATACACACACACACACACAAGGATTACAGCAGGACCGCACAAATGTAGGACTACACACACACACACACACACAAGCATACATACACACACACACACACACACACACACACGCGCGCGCACACACACACACACATGAGGATTACAGCAGGACCGCAGGACATACACACACGCGCACGCACACGCACACACACACTCACAAACTCTCACACACACAAACACACACACTTACAACCACACGCACACACACACACAGTCTCTCACACACACTCACACACTCTCTTACGCACACAGACAGACAAACACACAAACAGCTATGAACACATGCACTCACACACACACACACACACACACACACACACACACACAATCAAACACACACTCTCTTTCTCTGTCTCTCACACGCACACACACACATGCTCTCTCTCACACACGCACACACACATACACTTCTCTCACACGCACACACACAAACACTTCCTCTCTTTCAAACACACACACCTTCACACATAAACGCATACACACACACACACAAACTCTCTATCTCACACACACGCATCCTCTTTCTCAAACAAACACACTCGCACACATACACACTCTCACACACACATTCTCTCTCTTTCTCACACACACACTCTCTCACATAGACAGACACACACACAAACAGCTATGAACACACAAGCACACACACACACACACACACACACACACACACACAGCTGTGGTTGTAAATGTGTGTGTTCTTGTGTTCAGATGTCTGTTTTCTCACTCTGGATCCAAACACAGCAAACACTCGACTCATTCTGTCTGAGGAGAACAGAGAGGTGAAGCGTGTGAGAGAGAATCAGCCGTATCCTGATCATCCACACAGATTTGATGATTATCGTCAGGTGTTGTGCAGAGAGAGTGTGTGTGGACGCTGTTACTGGGAGATTGACTGGAGTGGAGATTATGGTGTGTGTATATCAGTGTCATATAAGAGCATCAGGAGGAAGGGAGGAGGTGTTGAGTGTTGGTTTGGAAATAATGCTCAGTCCTGGAGTTTGTTCTGTGATTCCTCCAGTTTCTCATTCAGTCACAATAACACACACACTGTTCTCCCAGTGAAGCGGCTCAGCAGGAGAATAGGAGTGTTTGTGGATCACAGTGCAGGAACTCTGATCTTCTACAACATCTATAGAGACACAATGAGCCTCATCCACTCAGTCCAGACCACATTCACTGAGCCGCTCTGTGCTGGGTTTGGGCTTTATTATTCTGGATCATCAGTGAAACTGAGCTGAAGACTGACGAGAGATTTACCCAGAATCCTCTGCAGGAGCAGTCAGCAGCAGTGTGTGTGTGTGTGTGTGATGCATGTTTGTCTATGTGTGTGTGTGTGTGTGTGATGCATGTTTGTCTGTGTGTGTGTGGGCTCGTATGCATTGGTTCACTACTGTGTGTGTGGGAGAAAGAGAGAGGGTTTGTGTGTGTGTGTGTGTGTGTGTGTGTGTGTGTGTGTGTGAGAGAGAGAGAAAGAGAGTGTGTGTGAGTTGGAGAGAGAGAGAGAGTGTGTGTGTGTGTGTGTGTGTGTGTGTGTGTGTGTGTGTGTGTGTGTGTAAGAGAAAGAGTGTGCGTGTGTGTGTGCGCGCAGGTTTACTATTGTGTGTGCATGTGTGTGCATGTTCACTGCTGCGTGTCTGTCTCTGTGTGTGTGTGTGTAAGAGAGTCTGTATTCGTATATGCATGCTTGTGTGTTTGTTTGTCTTTGTGTGTTTGTATGTGTGCGTGAGAGAAGAGAGTGTGTGTGGGTGTGTGTGTGTGTGCTTGTGTTCACTGCTCTGTGTGTGTGTGTGTGTGTTTGTGTGTGTGTGTGTGTGTGTGCTTGTGTTCACTGCTCTGTGTGTGTGTGTGTGTGTGTGTGTGTGTGTGTGTGTGTGCTTGTGTTCACTGCTCTGTGTGTGTGTGTGTGTGTGTGTGTGTGTGTCACCATTCACACTCAACAACAGTCACTGCATTTGTCAAGTTACAGTCATTAAATCCTCAACACTTCTAGATGTTCTCCTGTGTTTAATAATAGATGCAGTGTTTTGTTCATGTCTTTGTTGATTTTATTTCTCCTAGAAACACAGATTGCTCATTTTGCTCGGCCAATAAGAACTGAATTAGTGGACATTTGTATTTCTGCATTTGCTTTACTGAAAGCCTCAAATAAAAACCTGTTTTGAACAGAAATGAGGCATTGGTGAAAATAAAGCAGTCAGGATATTAAACAGTGGAGAAAGTCTCGTACACTCTGTAAAACAATGAACAATAGTTTCTCTCTCTGGACAAAATGGACACGTCTCACTGATATTAGGGCTCATTTGTGTTCACAGCTACAGCAGCATGTAATATTCTCCACTGCAAGTGTCCTCCTCTTCTCATCAATGCTGTTTATTGATCATTCTCCATTCTGCTTTCATGACTTCTTCTACTGCCAGTGTGTTTCTCCATACCGTGTCAGTTCTGTCTTTTAAAATGTGCTCGTTATTTATTTCCACAATATCTCTGTCAAATATTTCACCTTCGGCTGAACTAACATCAGCACTTTCATTAAAACACAGCGATGGACTATTATCCCCAACATCTCCAACAACAGCTTCAATTCTGATATCAGGGAAAACTCCTCGTCATCTGGGATAAAAAGATCCCAACTAGAACTCTCCAGCAGTGTTTTTCATTTAACATCACACTCAGTTTATCTCAGAGTTCCTGTGCAAACCTTACTGATCCTATTCCCATACATTTAGCAAGATTCACTCGGTCCACTGCCTGCTTTGTCAACAATGTCTCTCAATTGTGACATTGTTTTGGATACTAATATGTCCATCAATCCTGGAGTATCATCTCCTGACAAAAACCATTGGCTCTTCAAGACTCTTGGGCCCAAACAATAGTCTCTGGATGACCTGCAGTCTATACGCTGCTCCTCTACTCACAAGATCAACCAAGCCTTGACCTCCTTCATCTCTTGGTGAGAAAAGAACACTTTGAGGGATTCAATGTAGGTTGTCCCAGAACAAATTGACCATCTCTCTTTGAAGATTCTGTAGTAAACCAATAGGGGGGTCTCCACACGCCAGCTTGTGCCATATAGAGGATCCACCAAGCTGTTAACTATAAGTGTGCGGCCTCTATACAATAACTGGGGAAGTAACCATTTCCATTGTTGTAGAAGTCTTTGTATTTTCTCAAGCGTGCCATTCCAGTTCTTCTGAACACAGTCATCTTCACCAGAGGTATTTCAAGCCTCCTTTCTTCCATGTCAAACCTCCAGGTAACTTGGGAGGGACACCGCTCCAGCTACCCACAAGCAGGGCTTCACTCTTTCCCCAGTTGACTTTAGCAGAGGAGATCTTCTGAAAATCACTTACAATAAAATCCAGTTTCTGAATATCTTCCACATTCGATATGAAACAACAACATCATCAGCATAAGCAGAAAGATGCAGAGAAACGTCACAATGAGGAACACACACACCCTTTATCTCAGAGCTTAGTTTATTCAGCACAGGTTGGATAGGCAGTGTGTACAACATCCCCGACACAGCACATCCCTGTCTAACTCCTCTCTGTACTGTAAAAGCAGCACTCAGACCACCGTCGACTTTTAATACACTTTGAATGTCTCTGTACAAAACATTGATCATATTTACAGAAGCTGGGCTCAAAGCAAACATTTCTAAAAGCTTTATTAAATATGTTGTATACGGTCAAACGCTTTCTCTTGCTCTAAAGAGATCAGTCCACAATTAATACCCAATTACTTCTAAAACATCTCTAACCAAATAAATATTGTCAAATATTGATCTATTCTCTATACAAAAATGTTGATCTTGGTTTATTACTTGACCTATTACCTTACTCAATCGTGTAGCTGATGCCTTTGACAGTATTTTATAATGGGTGCAGTAAAGTGATGCTGGTCTCCAGTTGCTTCTTCTTTGCAAGTCTCCTTTATTGGTAACACAGTAATTACAGCTCTTCTGCAGTTTAATGGGAGTAAACCTTTATTTAAACTGTCATAAAGAACCAAAAGAACATCATCACCTATCACAGACCACAAAGATTTACAGAAATCTACTGGGATTCATCAATAGCTGGAGTCTTTCCACTTCCCATACTCATTACCGCTGTGTGTAATTCATTCTGTGACATTGAGAGCTCAAGCATGGCATTAGAGTCTTCATCAGTGTTTGGGAGATCTTTAACTTCTATATGATCTGTATAATTCTGAATAAAAGTGAACAGCATGTTTACGTATGTCACTGGATTATAAAGTTCCTCTCCTGCATTATTGTTTAGTGAATGAATAATTCCACTTTGGCCAATTTTCTGTTCTAGACTAAAAAAGCTTAGAAGGAGCATCCATTTGTGTAATGTTTATTAAACCTGAATGAATGAATGCTCTTTGTGCTTTTACTCCTCAAAGATCAGCCAGCAAATCTCTGTTTGATTTCCGGGTTTCAGATTGATCACTGCTTGCAGCTGCTGTTGTGTTAAACAGGTCTGTTAGTTCATCCTCTAGTTTCTTCATGGATTCAGGAACTCCTTTAGTGACATTAAAAGTGTATTCTTGGCATAATTGTTTAATGTGAATCTTGCCACAATCCCACCATTGCTGCAGTGAAGAATAAAGATGTTTTTCTTCTTTAAAATTCCGGTAACGCTTTCTTTTACAACCCGCAAAGTACCGCGTAAGTACAGTGAAATTACAGTGTACTTTTCTGTACGTACTGTGTAAGTATAATGAACGTATGTGTAGGTATAAGGGAACAAACCGTAATGCTTGGGTAAAAAGGGGGTAACAACCAGATGTTCATCACGAAAATTACCGCGTAAGTACAGTGAAATAACGGTGTACTTTTCTGTACGTATAGTGTAAGTATAAATAACGTTTACACAGCAAATTCATTGGTGTTAAATTTCAAGTGTTGTGGTAATTCAGAGTAAAGTGTTAAAATTCTAGAGTTAGATAAAGGTAAAATAACCCTCTCGGCGTTAGAAGCTGATTTGCCTCCTTGTCACACAGAGTAAAGTATCTACCTTTGTAGAAAACCCTTGTATTTGAGAAACTAATCAGAGTGTCTGAAATCTCGCCACACCCTCATTCACCTGGCCCTTAAATTGGTTAATTAGTTTAGTCCACTAGACAGAGTGAATGACCACAAATAAGTGAATTCAGACACCTGCTGTTGAACACCTGCTGTTAACAAGCACAATCACTGAAGGAATAAGAAATTGAAGGAAGAAAAAAAAACTACAGACACAGCCTCACACCAAACCAACTGAATTAAAACAGAGGATTAAACAACTCCATTAAATAATAGTATAAGCAGCTTCACTGATTACAGTTTGACTTCATTTCTGTAAGAATATTTGACACTGAACAGAGGTTTATATTTTTTTATTAAAAATATTTCATTTGACCTCACCATCATAGAGATCAGAGGCTGCTTATTTGAGCTCTTGAAGCTTTACTTTTATATCCTAATGTTTCTCTGACTGTTATAGCTGTGTTTCTTAAACTCATCAGTTATAGTAAGAATGGTCAAGAGAAACTATACTGTTTGTGCTTAATTGTTATAGATTTAATTTCAGGTGTTTATTAAGTTGATTCATAAAAATATGCGAACATAATTGCATTAAATCTGCATGGGACAATACTACTGGCAGTTTGCTGCTCTTCATAGAAGATTAAACAAGCAATTAGGATGCAATTAATAATTAAAGTTTCATGCACTAAACATTCAAGCTCCAGCTTGCTTACATGAAACACAGACATCAAGAATCAGGATATGAACCTCAACCGTGGTTGCTAAAAAAAAAAAGCTGCATAGTTCATGCCGCAATGCATGCTGGGTGCCAGCATAGTACAAAGCTCCCAGCATGCATTGCAGCATGAATAAATTATGCAGCTTTATGTTCTTACAATCTCTTTCTTTTCCTTTATTTTGTGTTGTTTTTGGGAGGTGATATTTCAGTAGAGTGTTTTTTTACTTGATTTTTATTTTTTTGTTTGTCACCATCATTGAGATTCAAAGACTAATTGTTGATGTCTGGGTGTTTTTGAGTTCTGTCATAGATCACACATTCTCCTTGTAGACAGTGGTTTTAAACCTGTTATAAAGTCATTAATTATTGGAGCTTCAGTTGTTACATTTTTGTTTTCGAGAAAGTAACCAACTGCAGAAAACTGTGAGCTAACAGAGTTCAGATTCGATGTTTTGAAGTCTGTGTTTGAAATCACACATTGTGTCCTT